GTAACTGTAATGGGCTTTGTCATTAACACAAATAGGAAATGAGTGTCTTGGGGGAGGAAAATGATGAATTTTTCCATGGATATTGTACCAGTTGGGCTTCCCAGGTGGCATTAATGGTAAAGAACCCGCCTGCCAGTGCTACAGATTTAAGAGGCTCGGGTTCGATCTCTGGGTCAGGAAGATCCCCTGGAGGAGGGCATGGCAACCCACTCCAGTATTCCTGCCTGGAGAATCCCATGGACAGAGGAGCCTGGAGGGCTAGAGTCCATAGGGTTGCAAAGAGTTGGACATGACTACCGTTTTAGCATGCATGCATGTATTGTACCATTAGCTAGTGCCCTGTAACAAATTGTCGTCAAGTTTAGCAACTTAAAACGACAAACATCTCACGTGGTTTCTGAGGAATCCAGAAGCAGTTTAGCTAGGATGTTGTCCAGGGCTGCAGTCACCTGACTTTTAGACTGCGGCTTTAGTTCCTTACTGGCTGTTGGCAAGAGGCCACTGTAGGGTCACTTGAGTGTCCTCACAATATGGCAGGTCGCTTTCCCGCAGAATGAGTTATCCAAGAGAGCAAGCCAGAGGCTGCAGTGCCTTTTACATCCTACTCATGGAAGTGCATGCCATCCATTCTGCCATAATTTATTCTACAAGGGCGTCACTAAATGTAGCCCATACTCAAAGGGGAGGTTAGGCACCATCTTTTGAAGGGAAGAGTGTTGAGGACTATGGATATTTTTTTTAAAACCACCACAGATACATTGTTTTGATGACAAATGGAGTGAGCATTCAAAGGAAAATGTCAGGAAGAAGGAATTGGGAGCTTTAGAGAGCCAAGCTGCCTGCATATGGAGGTAGGTGCCAGCTGGAGCTGAAAATACTGAAAATGGAGAACTTCTCTGGGCAAATTTCTTAATGATCTCTCTCCACAAGTCTCATTTTTTTATTTTATTTCATTTTATTTTTTACTAGTTGGAGGCTAATTACTTTACAATATTGTAGTGGGTTTTGTCATACATTGATATGAATCAGCCATGGATTTACATGTGTTCCCCATCCCGATCCCCCCTCCCACCTCAGTCTCATTATTAAAGGTTATTGTTCCCTTCCCCAAATTATATTATTCCAGATATTTTAACTTTTTTTTTAAAGTTTCCATTTTTAATTTCTTGTATTATTTTGTTGTTTCTCCAAGCTTCTTATCATGAAAAATCTGTTATAGAAAAGTTGAAAGACTAGTATAATGTTCATATATTCACTATCTGGAATCAGTAATTATCAGCATTTTGATTTATTTGCCCACTTTATCTATCTATCCATCCATCTGAATATTTTTCTGAACTACTTATTGAGTGACATTCTTTGGTAAAGAGTTTCCCCCTCTATCTTGGGATAAACTACAGGTCCTCTTAAGAAGGCAGAGTACAGGTTTCTTTTCTCCTAATTACTAATTATCAGAGTGAGGACCTGATGTAACAGTCACTTGCAATAGGAGCAGATGATTTTATTTGAACATCAGTATGGACTCATAGTCCAAGGCATATGTAATTTTGCTATTTATTGCCAAATATCCATGGAAGTTGTGCCATTTTGTATTCTCACCAACAGTGTAGAAGCCAGTCCATGTTTTTTTTTCCATAACCTTGCCAAGAGAGTCTGTTGTAAAACATTTGAGTTTTTGGCAAACATCAGCGAGAAATGGTATTTTGGTACAGTTTAATTTGTATCTGTTTATTGAACAAAGTTGAACATCTTTTTATGTGTTTTTAAGAGCCATTTGCCTTCCTTTTTATGTGTTCTTTTTGTGTTTTTTGCCTGTTTTTCTAATGAAGTTTGGGTTTTTTTTTTTAATCTTAATTTAAGAGCTCTCTCTATATACCAGAGACATTAACCCTTTGTTTCTAATATGAGTTAGGAGTATTTTTTTCCAATTAGTCATTAACGTTTTGAGTATGGTGTTTTTAAAAATTAATTTTTAGTGGAATATAGTTGATTTACAAGGTTTTGTTAGTTTCTGCTATACAGCAAGTGGATCAGTTATAAAAATACACCTTCACTCTTTTTAAAAATTCTATTCCCATATAAATCAGTATGGAGTATGGAGTCGAGTTCCCAGTGTTATACAGCAGGTTCTTATTGTTACCTGTTTTATATATAGTAATGTATATATGTCGGTCCCTCTCCCAATTTATCCTTCCCCCTTGATAACCATAAGTTTTCTACATCGTTCACTCTATTTCTGTTTTGTAAATAGATTTCTTTGTACCTTTTTAAGATTCCACATATATGTGATATCGTATGCAAAAATATGAAATGCTTCAAAACTTGCATGTCATGCATGCACAGGAGCCATGCAAATCTCTGTATTATTCCAGTTTTTAGTATATATGCTGCCAAAGTGAGCACTGACTTATGCTGATTTTATGATATGCAGATATTTACTTTCATGAGTTTATGTACTTTTATGCACATCTTTTAGTTGCATCTGGATTTTGAGTCATAGTTAAGGTTTCCCCTACACCTGTATTATAAGGGGATTTATCTACGCTTCCTTCTAGTACCTGTGCAGCCCTCTCTTCCTCCCCCCATTCCTGTCTTACCCCCTCTCCCTCCCGCCTCCCTCTCCTTTCTCTTTCCAATTCTCTCTTAACATTTGGAGTTTATTCTGGCATACATTTCTTTTTCCAATGATTATTCTGTATTCGAATGTTTTTGTAGTGATTTGAGATATCACCTTTATCATATGACAAATTTCCAAAAACTTTTGACTTTTAAATTTGCTGTTTTGGGATTTTCTATTCTGTTGCATAGCAGTGTGTCCAGTCAGGAGAGAAACTACACAGTAGGTTCAACAGGAGAAGTCTAATATAAGAATTACCAACTGTGATGGGAGATTAAGTGTAAGAAGTAAGAGACTCGATGAGGCACCCAAGAGCCGAGGTAGAGTACCCATGGAAGAACAAACTTTGGGGAGTGGGCGTGTTCGGACCTCCTTGGAAAAGATGGTTTGGCCACTGAAATGTTCACTGGTTTACCCAGGCAAAAGTGGTCTGGAGTTGCAGGTGGGGAGCAGGCAATCAGCATCTGGTGGTGTGGGCGTGCCCTGGAAATCCAGTTGCACACCAGAGCGGATGGCCTTCAGAGCATGCAGGTGCTGGTGATGAAGCTTGCACAGGGAACAACTTCTCTCACTCCTCAGGCCATAGTCTGGACAGGTCATTGCAGAAAGGTTCTTGCCATGCCAGGGCTACAGGTTTGGGATGGGATCTCGTTCTGGACCAGCACAGGCTCCACTGGCTGTTCTCACCCACAACGTCAGCCTCTGCCCCTGCCAGAAATCACAGCGGCCTCTTCCACCTGCAGTCCCTGCAGTGCCCTCTACGAGAATTCTTAGCACCGGGCTCAGTTTAAATACTTGAAGGAATTCCGTTGCCATAGAACATATATTGGGTATATTGAAGAGTGCATTAGAAGGTGAGAGGCAGTAAATTGATCATTGACAGGTGCACTGGCATATGTATTCCTTTTTTATCATTGGCTATTCATAATATGTTTGAAGATCTGTTAATGCTTGTCATGCTTACTGATCTATCCTTTGAGGTAGGTTTTTTTTAATTTTTCTGTAAGAATTTAAAAATGAATTTATCTACTTCTATGGGAAAAAAAACTGGTTGGCATTTTTATTTAATCCTATATTTTTTAAGTTTGTTTTTTTTTTCCCCGCAGAGATTGAACCCAGGCCACAGCACTGAGAGCCCAAAGTCCTAACCACTAGGCTACCAGGGAACTCCCTGAGTTTTTTAATTTTTAAAAGTATTTTATATTAAATTCTCATGGTAGAAAATTCTTATACAACAAAAGTTTTATGGAAGTGAATGAAGAAGAAAATGAATGCCATGCCTTTTTTTTTTTTTAATGTGTTGACTTTTTTTTTCATTTATTTTTATTAGTTGGAGGCTAATTACTTTACGATATTGTAGTGGTTTTTGCTATACATTGACATGAATCAGCCATGGATTTACATGTGTTCCCCATCCCGATCCCCCCTCCCACCTCCCTCTCCACCCGATCCCTCTGGGTCTTCCCAGTGCATGGGGCCCAAGCACTTGTCTCATACATCCAACCTGGGCTGGTGATCTGTTTCACTATAGATAATATACATGTTTCGATGCTGTTCTCTCAAAACATCCCACCCTCGCCTTCTCCCACAGAGTCCAAAAGTCTTTCCTGTACATCTGTGTCTCTTTTTATGTTTTGCATATAGGGTTATCGTTACCATCTTTCTAAATTCCATATATATGCGTTAATATACTGTATTGGTCTTTATCTTTCTGGCTTACTTCGCTCTGTATAATGGGCTCCAGTTTCATCCATCTCATTAGAACTGTTTTTAATGGCTGAGTAATATTCCATGGTGTATATGTACCACAGCTTCCTCATCCATTCGTCTGCTGATGGGCATCTAGGTTGCTTCCATGTCCTGGCTATTATAAACAGTGCTGCAATGAACACTGGGGTGCACGTGTCTCTTTCAGATCTGGTTTCCTCGGTGTGTATGCCCAGAAGTGGGATTGCTGGGTCATGTGGCAGTTCTAGTTACAGTTTTTTAAGAAATCTCCACACTGTTCTCCATAGAGGCTGTACTAGTTTGCATTCCCACCAACAGTGTAAGAGGGTTCCCTTTTCTCCACACCCTCTCCAGCATTTATTGCTTGTAGACTTTTGGATAGCAGCCATCCTGACTGCTATTCAATGCCATGCCTTTTATTCCTACCCCTCTGAGGTTGTGGGTGTATTTTTCAGGATGTATTTCTAGGTCCATATAAGTATGTGTAGATAATAAAAATGTGTCAACCTTTTTCACAGTATGCTTGTACCTGTAACTTAGAAATGTCTTTTCTTCTTTCTTTACAGCCGTACCTGTCCATGACTCTGAGAACATTATAATGTCCTTTTGTGCCTCTTCTCACAAGGGGTTTCCCTAGCTGTCACCTACTCAAGACATGGATGTTAAAAACTCACCATCTAGCCTTAACTCTCCTGTCTCCTACAACTGCGGTCAATCCATCCTACCCCTGGAGCCAGGCCCCATATATTTACCTTCCTCCTATGTAGAGAGCCGCCATGAATACTCAGCCATGACGTTCTATAGCCCTGCTGTGATGAATTACAGTATTCCCAGTAACTCGGAAGATGGGCCTGGTCGACAGGCCACAAGCCCAAATGTATTGTGGCCAACTCCTGGACACCTCTCTCCTTTAGCCATCCATTGCCAGTCGTCACTTCTGTATGCAGAACCTCAAAAGAGTCCTTGGTGTGAAACCAGATCATTAGAACACACCTTACCTGTGAACAGGTAAATCCAGTCTTCATTCTGAATTATATTATGGCTGATATTCAGATTGCTTTATGATTTAGTGAGAAGAAAGATATGTGTTATACAAGGTCTTCACTATCACATAGAGCACCTAAAACATCTGATGTTCTGAATTCTAGGATATCTATTCTGCTATTCTAGTCCTTACTAAAAAGTTGAGCATTTAGATCTGTGTTGTGGGGGAGAATTCATGTCATGACTGTCTTTGGAAAATATTTAACTTAAATCACTTTCTTTTTGATGAAGTGATTTGAGTTTGAAAAAGGAATTTTTACTTTCAAGTTAGATCCATCCTATCTTGAAATGAAATCACAACTTAGTGTTCATGACTAATTATGTCCAAGATAAAAGTAACCATCGGTATTACAACTTGATGAAATACTAGCCAGGTGAAAAGACAAACATTGGTACAAATTTTTAAACAGTGGATAAATAACATTTTATAAAGATTGACAGGAAACTAAATGTGGACTTTAGTTGAACATTCTTAAACTCTTAAGTGCAAGGTAACATAATGGATTATTTGCATTCAATTTGTTATACACATACATGTATATATTTTGTGCTATGTGGCCTGTGGGATCTTACTTTCCCAACCAGGGATTGAATTCGGATAGTTTTAATGATAATCATGGCTATGGAGGGCAGAGGTGGTATGGGGGGAGCATGAGGGGGCATAACTTTACAGAACAACCCAAGTACTAAGTTATAGCATATTTTATATTGAAATTTATTACTTTCAAATATCATAAAATTTGAGAAAGCCATATTACACACTAACTTTATTTTTCTTCTTTTTAAAAGAAATTTTTGTTTGGTAAAAGAGAATATGAAAAATGTAGATAACTTTTTAAAAATAATGTCTTCTCATTCAACTTTTAAAGGAAGAAATATCTTATTTCTGAGAACAAGTTCTAATCAGAGTTCTGCTAATATTTGGGTACATTAAACCACAGCATATTAAATGTATAAATCAATTACCTCTACCATGTCCTTTCCAAAGGAAACATGCTGTAGCAAAATTAGGAACTAGCCCGGTGTGTCCTTGTGGGTTCTCCCTCCCTCTGTGGTAAGCCCTGGCCCTCTCTCCACCCTGCACTGAACACCTGCTTTCTTCAGAGCCGTCTCAAGGGACAGGCATGTGTTTATGCTCTCCCCCTCTCTCCTCTTCTCCTTCGCTCTCCCCTTTTCCCTGCTGTTTCCACGCAGACTTGATGTGGTCACTGATTACAGAGATGTACACCCTGATGGCTGCAGCCAGTTCTCCGTGGTAACCGGTGTTCATCCACACTGCGTGGATGGGTGTAAACTCACCTATCCACTTTCAGACACCAGCCATCCCGACCGGGCGACTCTTAATAGATTTGATATCAGTAACAAAGGTTTTGCTTGATCACACCTCTTGGAATATATTTATTATGAAGCCTGGAGGGCAAAGAGATACATGAGGCAGTGTTCGTGCTGTTCCTTTTTCTAGAAAGGCCTTGTTTTACCGTCAGTGTTCTTTTACAGTGAATGTTCTCTTTGCCCCTAGGGAGACATTGAAAAGGAAGTCTAGTGGGAGCAGTTGTGCCAGCCCTGTTACTAGTCCAAGTTCAAAGAGGGATGCCCACTTCTGTGCTGTCTGCAGTGATTATGCATCAGGATATCACTATGGAGTCTGGTCCTGTGAAGGATGTAAGGCCTTTTTTAAAAGAAGCATTCAAGGTACAAGAGTGTTGTTAGCTGCTTTTTTTGTTTTCCACTTTGCTTTTAAACAACTTTGCAGATGACCTGGTAGAAATTTCACTTTTGTTTGGCCTGCTTGGTACAGAGTACTTGATGAGTGGTTCATAGGATCATGTGTCTCTGGGGGTGGTGGGGGATTGTTTCAAGTATAGAGTACTTTATCTTTCACACAGATCTCTACCCCCAAACCCAAATGGATCTTGCACCACCATCACCCATTGCCGTGTTCCTAGGAGAAAACATCTTATAACCTTTATGAAGGTTGGAAAAGATGTGTGCCCATTAGGAACTGCGAAGATTGTTTCTTCCTTTGACTTATGTTTAATCTCTAGCATACATAACTGTTAAGATGGTGGGCTGGCTCCTCAGGAAGAGAGAATATGTTTTATGCAGTCAGTAGCTCAACTAGTGGAACCTCCTTCACAATCCCGTTTTCTGGTCTGAGTTTAGACTGTGTCCCTACCCTTCTCCAAATTTCTGCTAGGCTGGCTTTTAGTTTCTGTGATTTTGTTAAATCATCTCTTTAATCAGTTTCAAATTGCACGCACCTGGTTTCAAGGCCAGTCAGCCCCTTGCCAGTCCTAATTTGCTGCGGGCACTTTCTTGCTTGCTTGTGCTCTCAGCTGTCTTTCTGCCCTGACCCCTCCCTCATCAGCCCTCCTTGCAGGCGGTGTCCTGGGATCCCATCTCAGAGCTCACTTCCCTTTTCTGCCAAAGCCTTGTTCTTAACCAGTTCAGGAAAGCTACCTTAAAGCAATTCATAGTGTGCAAGTTGCAAACAGCAATTTATTGAGTAAATTCACCCAATGAAACTCTAGGTTAAGAGCATTTTACCTCAAGCAGAGAAGCTGATGTAATCTAGAGGGAGATGAGGGGTAGAATTTTAGTAGATAAGGAATCACCTTCCTCTGAGTCCCTGGGAAATTCACCCTTCATAGATGAGCACTTCTTTGTCCTCAACCCTCCACTTAGTAGCTCTGTGACTTGATGTCCTGGCCTGGTTCCTCATCTGTGAAATGGAGGTAGTTATTCAAAAACTGAAATGAGGTTAGTTATGTGAAAATATTTGGTCAATTATAAACACTGCAAGAGTAGAACTACTTGCAAATTCAAGTTATTCTAACTTTTCTTTTAATTCTTTTGTTCTCAAATGTCAGCGTCTTTTCTTGCTGCCTGTGTTGTTTCTCTTCTAATCCTAACCTCATTTAAACCCATCTCCTCTAAAATCTTCATAGTTAGGTGGATGAGGGCCTCTGCCATTTCCAAGATCCTTTACTTGTCAAAAGGAAAAACAACACAGATAGAGGAACCTGATGTCATCAAATATTATCAAAACATAAATCATGTTTGGCTTTTTTTCTTTTATATACACAGAACTTTTCTGCATTTAACATTTTCAGTACTTAAAAATTTTTTTTTTATCATTGTACTAGTAGATTATCAGGCCAGGTCCAGTTTCTTGTGATACATGAGAACAATTTAGATTTTCTGAAATTCAGAACCAAACTCTTGATATGATGACAATTCTCTACTTTGTTGAAGTTCTAGAATTTTATATTCTAAAGGAAGTTTTGATCCAAAACAGCTAACTACATCCTTAAAAGAAAGACTTTTTCTTATTTGCTCTTTGGGAAAAATCTCTGCATGGACTATATTTCATGAACCCTGAGACTGCAGCTGATAACAATAAGTTTACTATGCTTTCCCCACATCATTCCTTCCTAATGCATCAGCAAAGGAGCTGTTAGGAAAGGGAAAAGGCATGTCATATCCTAAAAGTGCAATTGGTAATGTTAGTGCTTTTACAACTGCTTAATGGGTGAACTGATTATTTCTTTGGACTCTGCCTATTTTTGCTGCCCTCTGGTATAAATGCATTGCAGTAAGTCAAAACAGCTACTCAATTTTTTTGGTATGTTGAATGGAATGAGAATCAAATATATTTTCATAAATTGAAAAAGAATAAAACAGATTCTTTTGGGCTTCCCTGGTGGCTCAGCTGGTAGGGAATCCGCCTGTGATGTGGGAGACCTGGGTTCGATCCCTGGGTTGGGTAGATCCCCTGGAGAAGGGAATAGCCACCCATACCTGTATTCTGGCCTGGAGAATTCCGTAGACTGTATAGTCCATGGGGTCACAAAGAGTTGGACATGACTGAGCAACTTTCACTTCACTTCACTTTGTTTTATTAAATAAATACATTTTCATTGATTTTAAAAATATAGGACCTTATTTTCTTGTTGTTTGATATATAATTTACATACAACAAAATTCCTCTATTTTAATTTTATAGTTTCTTGGGATATTTTTGGCCAAGCCATGAGGCATGTGGGATCCTAGTTCCCCACCAGAAATTGAACCCACGCTTCCTGCAGTGGAAGAGTGGAGTCTTAACCACTGGACCACCAGGGAAGCCACAAATTTTAGTTTTATGAATTTTGAAAATATATGTAGTCATGAAACCAACACCGTAATTAAAATATGGAACATTGCTATAACCTCAAAATATTCCTTCATACCTATTGCAGCCAATTTCACCCAAGCTACCCAGGCTCTGGTGACCCTTGATCTATTTTCTGTCCTTATAATTTTGCCTTTTCTAGAATGTCATATAATTGCACCTTAAAGTTTGTAACCATTTACATATGGTTTCTTTCACTTGTCATGATGCTTTTAAGATTTATCTGTGTTGTTGGATGTATTAGTAGTTCATTCCATTTTGTTACTAATATTCCAGTAAGTGTACCCCATTTTGTTTATTTGTTCTTTTTTTTTGGTCACATTGCAAGGTTTGTGGGATCTTAGTTCTCCTACCAGGGAGAGAACTCTGGGATGGAAGTGTGGAGTCCTAACCACTGAACCAGCAGGGAATTACATGTTTATTTGTTCATTTGAATTGTTTCTAGTTTTATGCTATTTTGAATAAAACTGCTGTGAACATTTATGCTATGAACATTTATCTCTCTCTGTTTAGACATATCTTTTTGTTTCTTTTGGGTAAATGCTTATGAGTAAAATTGCTACTTGTATGATAAGCTCCATATGTGGTGCTAGGGGTAAAGAATCTGCCTATCAATGCAGGAAACATAAGATATGTGAGTTCAACCCCTGCATCAGGAAGATCACCTGGAGGAGGGATTGGCAACCCACTGCAAAATTCTTGCCTGGAGAATCCCATGGACAGAGGAGCCTGGTGGGCTACAGTTCATGCGGTCGCAAAGAGTCAGATATGGGTAGCCATTCCCTTCTCCGGGGGATCTTCCACCCAGGGATCGAACTCAGATATTCTGCATTGCAGGCAGATTCTTTACTGTCGGAGCCACAAGGGAAGCCCACACACTCATATGCATTCATTTATTCAAAAACTGTAATTGAGTACTTTGTATGGATTCAGTTCAGTCACTCAGTCGTGTTTGACTCTTTGTGACCCCATGGACTATAGCAAGCCAGGCCTCCCTGTAAAGCTTTATATCTTAAAGAATTAGCTTCATGATTTGCCTTTAATTTTGCTTCGCATCTTTCTTAGTTCTGTTCATATAAAGTAGTGTGCTTCTCAGACTGTTGCATGGAGCAAGAAAACCATTTTAATACATGCAGTGTTTGGTGCAGTTCAAGGAGGACTTTTTTCTTTTTGCCAGAAATGAATTACTATGACCTTCTTGCACAAGGCATTCTCTAGGCTATTGTCTTCATATTATTGTGTTTTCCAATCCTTTTAAAAAAAATTAAAATGCTTTTTTACAACAAACTCTGAGACCAACCTCTCAATTCAGTTCAGTTGCTCAGTCGTGTCCGACTCTTTGCGACCCCATGAACCGCAGCATGCCAGGCCTCCCTGTCCATCACCAACTCCTGGAGTCCATCCAAACCCATATCCATTGAGTCGGTGATGCCATCCAACCATCTTATCCTCTGTCGTCCCCTTCTCCTCCTGCCCTCAATCTTTCCCAGGATCAGGGTCTTTTCCAGTGAGTCAGCTCTTCACATCAGGTGGCCAAAGTATTGGTTTCAGCTTCAACATCAGTCCTTCCAATGAACACCCAGAACTGATCTCCTTTAGGATGGACTGGTTGGATCTCCTTGCAGTCCAAGGAACCCTCAAGAGTCTTCTCCAGCACCACAGTTCAAAAGCATCAATTCTTCAGCACTCAGCTTTCTTTATAGTCCAACTCTCACATCCATACATGACTACTGGAAAGACCACAGCTTTGACTAGACGGGTCTTTGTTGGCAAAGTAATGTCTCTGCTTTTTAATATGCTGTCTAGGTTGGTCATAACTTTCCTTCCAAGGAGAAAGCGTCTTTTAATTTCATGGCTGCAATCACCATCTGCAGTGATTTTGGAGCCCCAAAAAATAAAGTCAGCCACTGTTTCCACTTTTTCCCCATCTATTTGCCATGAAGTGATGGGACCAAATGCCATGATCTTAATTTTCTGAATGTTGAGCTTTAAGTCAACTTTTTCACTCTCCTCTTTTACTTCATCAAGAGGCTCTTTAGTTCTTCACTTTCTGCCATAAGGGTGATGTCATCTGCATATCTGAGGTTGTTGATATTTATCCCAGCAATCTTGATTCCAGCTTGTGCTTCTGCCATTCCAGCGTTTCTCATGATGTACTTTGCATATAAGTTAAATAAGCAGGGTGACAATATACAGCCTTGATATACTCCTTTTCCTATTTGGAACCAGTCAGTTGGTCCATGTCCAGTTCTAACTGTTGCTTCCTGACCTGCATACAGGTTTCTCAAGAGGCAGGTCTGGTGGTCTGGTATTCCCATCTCCTTCAGAATTTTCCATAGTTTATTGTGATCCACACAGTCAAAGGCTTTGGCATAGTCAGTAAAACAGAAATAGATGTTTTTCTGGAACCCTCTTGTATTTTTGATGATCCAGCGGATGTTGACAATTTGATCTCTGGTTCCTCTGCCTTTTCTAGGGCCTGGGGCAGCTCCTCTTGGCCGTGCCTGTGTGCCATCGCAGCCACTGAGACCAACCTCTAGTTGTTTCTTAAATGCTTATTGTTGTAAACCTCATTGTAAAATCAGTGAGGATAACATCATGTACAGTTCTTTGAGGCTTTAGAAGATATGTAAAGATTGCTCCTGTTACGAGAAGTACTGTTAGAAGGATTACCTTCTAACTATAAAGCATTATATTCGAAACTACAATAGAAAGTCTCTGATTAGAAATATATTTTGGTTTTTAAAATTTATTTCTGAATATAAGTGAGGATAAAATCAATAACAAGATAATTATCTGTCCCTTAAAATGTTTTATGGTGGTGGTGGTGGTTTAGTCGCTGTTGTGTCCTCCTCTTGCGACCCCATGGACTGTAGCCCGCCAGGCTTCTCTGTCCATGGGATTTTCCAGGCAAGAACACTGGAGTGGGTTGCCATTTCCTTCTCCAGAGGATCTTCCTGACCCAAGAATCAAACCCAGGTCTCCTGTATTGCAGGCAGATTCTTTACCAACTGAGCTATGAAGGAATTTCCATAAACATAAAACATAAATTAAAATGTTTTATAGCACATCTTATATTACCCCCTATTCTTTAGTGTGTATAGAACCTGTATATATGATGAATGACTGTGTTAGTTAGGTTACATTGTATGGCAAATGGTGATGGGATCGCCTCTTGTGATTATGCTGTGGTTATCCACAGCATGTGTAAGACTCCATCATAGCAGCCTGGGGAGGGGAGTGGAGTTAGAGATGCACTCCTCCTACCCTGGAAGAAAGCAGACATCTTGTTGTCAAGTGTTTCTGGGCAAGTGCCGCTAGGAGCAGTGTCCAGACTATAACTAAGCAAGAAAATGGGGACCTCAGTCCTACAACTGCAAGGAATTAATTCTGTCAACAACTTGAATGAGCTTGGAAGAGGACCCTGAACCTCAAACGAGGCCACAGCCCCGTCAACACATTGATTGCGGCTTTGTTGGGACCCTGAGTAAATTTTTCCTTGAACTCTCTATTCATGGGAACTATGAGATAATAAATTTGTTTTATTTTAGGCTTTTAAAGGAATTTATTATGCAAAATGAAAAACTAAAGCAGTAACTTTAAGATTATTGAACTGAGCTTAAGTGTTTTCATTTGTAATATTGGGATCATAGCTCTTTATAGGGAAGTTATATGAGTAAATGAGGTGCTCATGAAAAGAACCTGGGAATCAGTAGGAGGTCAGAAATGTTGATGTGTCAGGCTAAGAAGACATTGCTTCCTGTACATGGCCAGGATGGAGGGTCACTTGAGAGAGTGGTTTTTGCATCTCTTGGGTGCCTTTGCTGGTACCCAAGCCAACTCAGGGCATGGCTGGCAAGTCACAAACAATTGAAGTTCAGTGTATGTTTTGTTGAACAAATGTTACTGGAATCTGGAATCTACCTGAAAGGACAGAGGATTATAAAATTTCATTATGTTTCAATCATGGAACTATGTCTTTTTGAAGTGGTCTTTAAAATCTGGTGATTATCAAGTGGCACTTCTTTCTTTGCTGATTTTTATATTCTCTTATTGACCAGTTTAGTTCTCTTAGTTAGCTATGAATTCCCACTGAAAAGTCATGTTAAATCCCAAAGAAAAATGTATGCAAAAGAGTACAAGGAGTTTAGTTTGGTGACCTGACACCAAGTACCGCTCTTGAGGAGTTTTGTGACTTGGAGCAAATCAATTTCAGGTGACTGTGTCACTTTCCATGTCCGAAGAAGAGTATTTCTAAATGTATCTCTTGAGAATTCTAAGAATGTGCAGAGAATAACCTATTGGTCAAGATGTAGGATATCAAAATATTCCTAGACTTCCTTTACTCACTAACGAGGCACTGATGAGGCGGCACTTCGTTTTTACACCTGTTCCTGTAGCTAGAAGTTGTTTTCCTATCTCTCAGCTGGGTGGCATTAGCTGCGTTGTTGACCAGAAAAGAGAATTATCCAAAATATTGCAACAATAAACTTCCTTTTTTTTTTTTTGTTTTGTTGTAGGACACAATGATTATATTTGTCCAGCTACAAATCAGTGTACCATAGATAAGAACCGACGTAAAAGCTGTCAGGCCTGTCGACTTCGGAAGTGCTATGAGGTCGGAATGGTGAAGTGTGGTGAGTGTTCCCTTCCGCTTCTGTGGTCCGTGGGACATGCCGAAAGCCAGGTCAAACGGGACAGTTTGAGGACCTGAAGACGTGGAGTCTGGGTGAGAGGAGATTTAGGACGTAGTAATTATCTTCAAGTGTTTGTATGCTGTCCCGTGGCAGGGGCGTTCACTTGTTCTCTGTAACTGTGGAGGACAGGGCTGGGGTGAACAGGAACATGTTGCAGGAGGCAGATTTTGGCCCAGCATAAAGAAGAACTTTCTACAGGTCAAATGGTCTGATACCGGAATAGGCTGCTGCATGAATTATTGAACTCTAGCCACTGAAGTGCTCAGATGGGCTGGGTGACCATCTGCCTGAGGCCTTGAAAAGTCCCAGGATAAAGTTCTGGTACGTGTTCACAGTTCAAGCTGTGACAAGAAGGTAGACTACATTGTGGGTTACTTGGGATGACTCATGCCTGTCCTTCCATTAACTTTCTAGAAGTGGGAAAAATATATATGCAGGAGTCAGAAACATGATAGACCTATGGAAAGCACATAGAGCATGAATTTTGTTCTAAGATGGTATGTGTGCATATATATATGTATACACACATGTATACATGCATGAAAAGACAAAGGGAAATGGGAACGCTGGTGTAACAACTGACAATGATGCTTACAGTCTGCTTCCTCCATCCAGCTAACTCAATTCACTTGTCTGTACACATTTGCTTGTTTATATACACTCATGTCAACTCTGCCTAAACTTTTCTTATTCTTCTGCCTGCCAGTATTTTAGCAGTAGTTTGGTGTAATTTTTCTCTTGGTAACTATTTGAAAAAAAAATTTTTTAAGTCCTCTCTTTTCTGATAACCTCTTAGTAGCTCTGCCTTCAAACATTCTCTGTCCCCTCCTCTAGTTCAGAATTACAGCAGAAGTTCTTTTAATTTAATCAGTTCTCTGGCTTCCTAAAATCACTGATGTTCTCTATTTCCTCTGTAAAATGTCCTGCCAATGACCTTCCAGTGGGTATTGGTTGCTTTCATAAACGCCACTCCAGTTATATCCTTATCAGTAACCACTAGCTTCTTCCCAACCTGCTTCTACTCACTTTAATTGTTAAATCATATAATTTAAAATTTATGCAAACATATGAAATATGAGTAGGAAAAGATAGTTCTGTGAAAGCTTTGAGTAAAATGTGAAGGACTAACAGCTATTGGGCTAGGTATGGGTAAGATTAGGGCAAAATCATCATAAACCTAGAAAGAGTCTGCATTCAGATTGCTTTATGAGTGTCTAAGTTCTTGCTCTGTTCTAAGAAAGCTGAAACTGAAAATCTAGAGACAGTGTAACTTGTGATTTAAATTGGCAGAAGTGTTTAAAGAGAAATCTCTTGGCCTTCTAATTAAAGACTGCAAATAAATATATCATGTTTTAAGTAAAACAGTATTTTAAATTGCATATTTTAAAGAAACGATTTCTAATATAACCTTAGGAAAAGAATGTTTTCAATGTGCTAGAATCTGTTAGTGGCTGTGGTTCTCTTGGTTTGGAACCATACACTCCACTTGGTTTGTAGCACATACACTCCACCTGTAGGGGGCAGTATATGTGGGGAGAGGAACAGGAGGACTGAATCCCTGCATAGATGGAATCTCATTTTTTTGGTCTCATCACTTCTTGCTGTAACAGTGCTTAAATGACCTAACCTCGATTTCCTTATCCCTGAAGCAGAGATATCTGCTTCACTGAGTTTTGTGAGGAATAAAGACCTAGCACAGTGTGTGGCGTTGAATATTACTTTCCCTTTCTTTCTCTCCCTCTTTTGTTGAAAAACACATTTAAGTTAGGAGTACCAGAGTTCAGGGATATACCTAAAATTTTCCTGGAAAAGGTCACTGAATTTGACCAAAAAGTCACTGGATAGAGCTAAGAAAAAGATTTACATTATCTTTGGAGATTACAGAAGAAATGAGATGGGTTGATGTGCAAACAGATGGGTATTTTGGCTCTTTACTGACCACGAGGAAAGACCATTAGGAGTGAATTTCCTTAACTGTGCTTTTCTCCTTTTTCAGCCCTCTTGAATGCCCTCCTGAGAAAAATCCTTCATCTAGATTCTTCCTTCTATCTAATCTCAGGGGATTAGGGATTCTCCCTGTATTCTGCATCCTCCTGTGTAATTCCACTTCCCCCTTTTATTCAGAAATCCTTTCCCTTCAGTCAGCACCTTTTTCTTCTTCATTTCCAATCTTGTCCTTTCCGCTGAGGTATTAATAAGGTTGTTTAAGTGTAGAAGGATACCCACCCAGGCTAGCTTCAGAGGAAAAGCTTCATTATAAGAATGGACTGCAATGCAAATAGCCAGCAAACTGATCTGAATAACTGTATATCTGATCTGTAGCCCTGTGTTGGGACAACAGTTCAGCATCTTTCGATGCCATCTCTTTATTTGCCTGCTGTATAGATACTTGAAAGTGATTTGTTGGGGAGGTGATATAAAATAGTAGTTAAAAGCACCAGCTCTGGATTCAGACCGCTGATTGGGTTTCAGTCCTGCTTCTGCTATTTTCTAGCTTTTCTACCTTGGGCAAGTTACTTGAGCTGCTGTGCCTGGATCCTCCCCTGTATGTTGAAGATAGTAACACGACCTGTCCTCTCAGGCAGCTGTCAGAAAGGGATAATCTATGTACAGTAACACACAAAGCCTGGCGCATAGAAGCTTCCGGTCTGTGATAACCGCTGTGGTCGTTATTTACCATTGTTGTTCTTGGCATGTCTTTGCGGGGCACTTTCCGGTATGGAGTGCTCCTCCCTGGTAGTTTCTCATTAAGCCCCTCAGAGGCACGCCGAGTGACTCTGCCTAGACGACAGTGTCAAAGCCATACCCTGGGAATGCCCTTGGTACAGAAATGTGAGTTCTTTGTCAGTGGCTTTATTTCTTGACCTTCTCAATTTCATTTTATTCCAGTGTATAGAATACAACTGGATTTACCATAGGAGCTCTATCAATAGATTCTAAGGGCTTTATTTTATTGATCCTAACTTAGAACAGGGTCCAGTACATGGAACTTTGTTGGGAAAATTTGGTCAAATAAATTTGAATGTTGGTATTCAATACCTTTCACTTTGTATGGAGTCTGTTTTGTAAACTCCTTATCCTCATATTCTCCGCAAAAGAGAAATGTGTGATTAGAAAGATACTTTCTTTTTTTTTTGAAAGATACTTTCTTAAGCAATACATTTTATCTCATTTTACCGCAGAAGTATAATTTATCTTTAATAATAATAACAACATAATATTATATGTAAATAATGATAGCTCTCTATGTGATTACTAATAAAATGAATTATATTCTAGGCTTTTAATTCTTTTCTCGAATATTTTGTTTGATTCAGTTATCCCTAGAGGAAAAGAGCCCTTCTTTCTACTGTAATTAGCCAAGGATAAGAGAAATTCAGATAAATCTTCTTGGAAGTAAATAAATTTGCCCATACCACCTAACTCATTTCCTTTTATAAATGTGGACAATTGAATTTAGTGAACAAAGGCAATGGTGGGAGTATAGAAAGTAGGCATCCTGATTTTAAGTTTTAGATTTTTTTATAGGGCAAATTTATATAAATGTTGTGCCCATGCTAATGACATCCTGATTTGTGTCTTTTTAAATTCCATTTTAGGGAGGTGGGAGGGGGGATCAGGATGGGGAATACATGTAAATCCATGGCTGATTCATGCCAATGTATGACAAAAACCACTACAATATTGTAAAGTGATTAGCCTCCAACTAATAAAAATAAATGGAAAAAAAAATTCCATTTTACATTTTTTACATTTTATATTTAAACAATGGATATTTAGAAATATTTTGCCTATGTGTATATATATATATAGGGCTTTGGGAATTATAGTTTTGTTATTGACTTCTGTTTTTATTTTATTGTGATCAGAGAATATGATCTATATAATAGCAGTTTTAGTTAAAGTTGACCTAGTATGTAATAATTTTTGCAAATTGTTTTGATGTATATGAGCTTAGAATTATTTCTCTTTCTTTTACAATCTACTTATGAGACCTTAATAATGATTTTTATCTTAAAGTTTGTCAGATATTGACAGTAACTCCAATTTATTTGGTTAACCTTTGCCAAATCTTTTTCTGCTCTTTTGCTTCCAGTTTTTCTGTATGTTAGATGTATCCCTTAGTAACCAGCCTATGTTGTTGTTCAGTTGCTCAGTCATGTCAGACTTTGTGACCCCATGGACTGCAGCAAGCCAGGCTTCCCTGTTCTTCACCGTCTCCCAGAGCTTGCTCAAACTCACATCCATTGAGTCACTGATGCCATCCATCCATCTCATCCTCTTTTATCCACTTCTCCTCCTACCTTCAATCTTTCCCAGCATTAGGGTGTTTTCTAATGAGTTGGCTCTTGGCATTAGGTGGCCAAAATATTGGAGTTTCAGCATCAGTCCTTCCAATGAATATTCAGGAATGATTCCTTTAGGATTGACTGGTTTCATCTCCTTGCAGTCCAAGGGACTCTCAAGAGTCTTTTCCAACACCACAGTTCAAAAACATCAATTCTTTGGCACTCAGCTTTCTTTATGGTCCAACTCTTACATCCATACATGACTACTGGAAAACCATAGCTTTGACTAGATGGACCTTTGTTGGCAAAGTAATCTCTCTGCTTTTTAATATGCTGTCTAGGTTGGTCATAACTTTTCTTCCAAGGAGCAAGTGTCTTTTAATTTCATGGCTGCAATCACCATCTGCAGTGATTTTGGAGCTCAAGAAAATAAAGTCTCTCACTGTTTCCATTGTTTCCTCATCTATTTGCCATGAAGTGATGGGACCAGATGCCACGATCTTAGTTTTTTGAATGTTGAGCTTTAAGCCAACTTTTTCACTCTCCTCTTTCACCTTCATCAAGAGGCTCTTTAGCTCCTTTTTGCTTTCTGCCATAAGGGTAGTGTATTCTGCATATCTGAGGTTATTGATATTTTTCCCAGCAATCTTGATTCCAGCTTGTACTTCAGCCTGGCATTTTGCATGATGTACTCTGCATATAAGTTAAATAAGCAGGGTGACAATATACAGCCTTGATGTACTCCTTTCCCAATTTGAAACCAGTCCATTGTTCCATGTCCAGCTCTAACTATTGCTTCTTGACCTGCATACAGATTTCTCAGGAGACCGGTAAGCTGATCTGGTATTCCCATCTTTTGAAGAACTTCCCACAGCTTGTTGTGATCCACACAGTCAAAGTCTTTAGTATAATCAATGAAGCAGAAGTAGATGTTTTTCTGGGATTCTCTTGCTTTTTCTATGATACAGCAGATGTTGGCAATTTGATCTCTGGTTCCTCTGCCTTTTCTAAATCTAACTTGAACATCTGGAAGTTCTCAGTTCACATACTGTTGAAGCCTAGCTTGGGAATTTTGAGCATTATGTCTAGATTGAAAAAATATATCTAATCTCAAATTTTTTCAGTTAACATTATTTGAAATAAGCTTATTTGTGTAAGTATGTAAAAAGAATACACAGACACACGTACTCACATGCCAAAAAATATTTAAGCATGTATTATAAAAATGTATTATTTATAGTCAGTTCCTACTTTTCCCTATCTTCTGCTTGAATAAAATTCCTAATTTCATGATTTGGAAACTGAAGTCTGTTAGTACTCTTTAAAATAAAGATGGGTGCTCGCTTCGGCAGCACATATACTAAAATTGGAACGATGCAGTGAAGATTAGCATGGCCCCTGCGCAAGGATGATACGCAAATTCGTGAAGCGTTCCATATTTTTTAATTCATTTCAATGTATGACAAAAACCACTGCAATGATGTAATTAGCCTCCAACTAATAAAAATAAATGAAAAAAAAATAAAAATAAAGATGGATTTAGATTTAGAAATGGAATAGGTGATCTTAAAATGTAATCCTAAAGATCATTTGGGCTATTGTCTCTGAAAAGTCATTATTGATTTTGCTAATACAGTCACAAATGTAGTAATCTTTAGTACATGCCTCACAGGCACCAGAAATAAAAGTCAGACCCCTGTTCTAAGAGATTCTGTGAATATACTTGGGTTTTATAATGATTTCCGTTTTCATCCTGGTGACTGGGGGAACCAGATGCTGCGTTGGGGAAGAGACTGGAGAAGCACTGTGTTATCTGCTCTCTTTTAGGCTCCCGGAGAGAAAGGTGTGGGTACCGCATAGTGCGAAGGCAGAGAAATTCTGATGAGCAGCTGCACTGCCTGAGCAGAACCAAGAGGAGTGGTGGACCCATGACCCGAGTGAAGGAGCTGCTGCTGAGCGCCCTGAGCCCGGAGCAGCTGGTGCTCACGCTCCTGGAGGCCGAGCCGCCCCACGTGCTCGTGAGCCGCCCCAGCGCGCCCTTCACCGAGGCCTCCATGATGATGTCCCTGACCAAGCTGGCCGACAAGGAGCTGGTACATATGATCAGCTGGGCCAAGAAGATTCCGGGTAGGGCCTTCTGAGTCTTAGCTTTAAATTGATGTGTAGAAAGGCCTGCTCCTCACATTTATGGGGCACGGATACTGAATGGAGGTCCGCAAGCTGTGTCTTGAGTATTTAGCGGTTTGACGGCTTGATTTATATGCTTTAAATGGAATACGTCCTTTCTTCTTGACACTTGTGCCTTCAACACAGGTGGCCAGGTTTCAGTTTAGAACTCCTGAATTCCTCCGAGTTCTGTACCAGACATGGTAGTGCAGAAGGAGTTGTATGTGGTGGGCCCCTTCTCCTCCTGTCTCTCTTCATGTCCACCCCTGTCCCCTGCTCCATTGATCCCACACTACCTTGCACACACCGAATCCTGCCTGTTCACATCTACAGACATTGGCTGGTTTGGCTATATCTCATGCCTAGATATGTTCTGGGGAGATAGACCCAGGGAAGAGACCCACCCATGCTCTGGATGTGGGAGTGGGGCCATTTAGGCAGGGAATTTTAAGGTCCTGGGACCTGGAGCATGGTCTAAAAGAAAGGAGTCTGGGCTCCACCTTAACCCATTTCTTGGCTGTGGACCCATCACCTTGGGAGGAGGGGTGTTGTCAGGTGAGGGTGGGGTGGGGCACAGTATGACCTTTCACAGTATGAATGTGAAAGGTAGGAATAGTAAAATTTTGTTCCAATAAAGAAAAAAATCAGTAATACATACATAAGTGAACAAAATGGGTAGAGTAAATCAGCTATAAAAGTAACATGAATCATCAATAAACCTGGAATGCTTTTTAACTTGATAAAATTAAAAATGGGTTTGGTTATTCCTGAATTGTCATTTAAAACATGCAGTTTTTTATTCTATAGTGTGTTCATTTTACCAGACCAGTTAAGTAACATATACACCCAAGGTACTGCATGGTCACCATCTAGCTATCATTTGAACTGATATTTCCATGAAGGAATGAATCAAGGATTCTAACATAGATTGACAACAACCCATGCTTCCTCTGGAAGGTCTTCTCCATGTACACCTTTCCATTTGTCTAAGAAATGAGGTCTCCAAGTTCTAAGTCACTAGGGATGACTCCCATGACCTCGAGGGCAGCAACTGCATTAGGCACATTTTAAAGATTGAGGGAGCTGGGGGAAGAGCACCTGGGTTTAAGGGTCTCAGATAATAGGATCCATAGGGGTCATTTGTTGGCTTCTGAGCTTTCTGAGAATTTTCAGGTTTTCCACTTCAGTTTTGATGGTTTAGCATCTTCTCCTTTGCCAGAATGATGTTTGTGTGTTTGTTTGTTTTCTGAGCTCTTTCCCAAAGGAGGAGATACTGGTGCAGTTTCCTCTAACTTTTGTGCTACGTGTATGCCAAACCTAGTTTTCAAGACACCACGTGGAGAGTGGTGATTAATTACTTCTGAGAGCTGTGTAGCTTCTTTGTGCCAAAGCAAAATGGATCTCTTAAGCTGCATCAGTCCCTCTTCAAGCCCGGTGTTTTGGAAAATTTTCTGAAAGCTTAGGCATAGTCTGAAGTTGTGGGATTTTTTCTCCCACTTTCTCAGCTAGCATAGTCATTGTCTAGACCAAAAAAAAAAAAAAATTTAGTCTATCACCTAGCTTTGGTTTTGTTGAAGATCTTTAAGTATGAAAAGTGTGATCTCCCTTGGGCAGGCTTATTGTCTGTAACTGTGGGTGAGGTTGGAATGTGTACACTCAGGAATGTGAACTGAGTGTGGAGGATGTGGCTTTGGAAAGGATTTATCCATCTTTCCATTCAGTTCTCCTTTGTTCAGATTTCTGTTATAATTGTTCAAAGAGTTGAACCACATGTGTTCTCTGTGCCATAGTTTCCTCATCTGTGAAATGATGATGAGAGATCTCACCTCTAGGAAATTCTCAGAGGTATGCATTGTTGCCCCCATTTTTCTTGTAAGATAAACACTTAAAGACTTAAAAGAAGATTAAGTAACTAGCTGGGATGAGGCTGAGCAGGGGTGCTAACCAAAGTCCATTGCACTCCAAGGTCATTTGTTTGTTGACTGTATTTATTTTATACGGCTTCCTCCTGTTATCATGACTTATGGAGGAAGCACCAGTGATCTCTGCTTCTGAAGTTCTCCCTTAGGCACCTGTTTCTGTTGTTATGTGTGTTCTTCAGCATAGAACAGCCCAGAGACAAGTGCACCTACTCAGAAGAATGATTCTAATACTAGATGGGAAATGGTAAGCAATTGGAGAAACTTCCAGCTGGAACTTTGACTTTCTGCAGGAGCTGGTCCTGTTTTCTCTGCAAGTCTCCCATCCATCACCCCCACTGTCCTGTCCCCCTACTCCTCCTGCCCCCATCATGGGTTGGGCCAGAGAGGCTGCCCCTCTCGCTGGCATCTGCACTCTATCTTTCTCAGTAGTGCAGAGGGATTACTGGGATATAACTAACAAAGGTCAGTGCCAGCTTTCTCTTCTTCCCTAGCATCTTTCTGGGAGCTGTACAAGCCCAGTTAATAATCCTTTGGAAATTCTGAATGATGTACATTTCTCTGTAGAAGGGGTTCGAGACTAGAAATTGTGAGTTACTCACTCTGAATTTAGGACTTTCTTCCTCGTCAGCTATTAACCACATCTTTAAAATATTGATTTCCCCTGCCCTCTGGGTGATTTGTGTTTTCTTAGCTTTTTAAAACTTGCTCTTTTTTTTTTTTTTTTTTTTAATGGAATCAGGGAGCTGAGGAGGAGGGCGGGTATGCTCACAGACTCTTGCTTTCCCCAGGCTTCGTGGAGCTCAGCCTGTACGACCAAGTGCGGCTCTTGGAGAGCTGCTGGTTGGAGGTGCTCATGGTGGGGCTGATGTGGCGCTCCATCGACCACCCTGGCAAGCTCATCTTTGCTCCAGACCTCGTTCTGGACAGGTGAGACACAAATTCCTTGTATTTCTTCTCCAACTTGAGTGAAGTGCCAAGTGAAGTGGGAGCAGAGTCCTGAGTTCTGCAATGAAAACCTCACTCCTGAAAGGGCAGGTAGGAGGGGGAGAAGGTTGTGAGCTCCTTCACTGGGTCAAGAACCTGAGAAGCAGAGCATGAGTGCAACGATTCAGTGTCCTGTGACTCATTCTTACCTGCGATGCAGCAGCATTCACTGGCCAGACCATACAAGGGCCCGTGTGTGGCACTCAGAGTGAAGGTCGCCTTAGGTTTTTCTACATTACAAAAAATCCACTTTTGGGTTTTAACTTTTAAGCTGCCCTGCTGTTCTTTCCACTAGTAGGGGCCATTTACATCTCCAGCTATCTGGGCAGGTGGTAAAATTCTTATAAATCTACCAAGTTTATTTTTACATGCTTTAACTCACTCTAACTACACATACTATATAGCATTTTGGGCAAAGCAGTGGAAGGAATGGTTATTAAAACCAGATGAAAGTTGATGGAAACTGGGGAATGATAGTGTTAATGCTATAATTTCTTGCATTTAGTTTTCTTTTGAAGATGGCGTGGAAAAGAAACCACTTTTTAATTGACTTAGTGAACTGTATGTACATGGAGGGAAAGCTGGAATGTACAGCAACACTGAAGCTTTTTAGTAGGAAAAGTAGAACACTTTCTTGGTGTTGTATTTGAACAGTTTGAGAATCTCCATGGAAATTGATTTTTGTCTTCCTTGTATTGAAAAAGTGCCAGTGTTGAGTGTTCAGTCACTATTGGACCCTGAGCCTGGAGGGAAAGGATGCCTACTGCTGTGAATAGAAAGGATCTGCCCCCAGCTCTTGGCACTACCTCTTTAGATCCTCAGAAGCTCCCCATGCACACCTTACTCAGATGAAAAGTAATAGCCAGGGTGTTAGCACCTATTCCTCCTGTTGTCGGGGATGATGGCATTGACAAAGGGCACTATTCTAAGTGATGGAGGTGTTTTGGTGGAGAGCAGGGCCTTTGGGAGGAGCTGGAGCATGGACTGTGGCTCTAGCAGGAGCAAGCCCAGAGGGAGGTTCTGGAAGCCCAGACCCTTCAGTTAGCAATCAAAATAGCTAACTTACTGGCCTGTGTGTGCCAGGCACCATCGTGAGCACTAATGTCTTAGGTCATTACATCTTCACAGTAGCCCTTTTTGGGTGAGCACTATTCTTATCCCTTTTCTTCAGCTATGGAAGTGGGAGGTTGGGTACATTGCCTGCAGCTACGGTGATGGAGCTGGACACAGGGACTGGCTGTGAAGTTCACCCTCTTACCAACAACAGTACATGCCTCTCAGCAGGATAGAGAGCTGGATGAGGAAAGAGGAGGAGGCCGAAGGCAAAGCAACTTTCTGCTTTAGTCTTTTATCTTAGAACAACTCTATTTTACTCTCTGGCCATTTCAGGAAACTTATTCCTCCAGCTGTCACTTCAGGGTACCATGTTGCAAGGCAGGCTGAAAGGCCAAGCACCCAGTCACACCATCACTGTCATTCATTCCTGCATTCAATGTGTTCCACTTGGAATTTAGATGAAGGTGCACACACACACACTTATATGAATATACACACATAATTCCCTAGAAGTTAGTGTTAGGAAGAAGTTCTATCCTTTGGTGAACTAATACATTTGCAAACTTTGGGACTGCGTTTGCTTTTTTGTGTTGATTTCTAAAGTGTTGCCACACTTAGTGTTTATTTTCAGTGACTGTTTCATTCCTGGTTTTTACTACAACAAACTTGCCTCTTTGTATGGGTTCAACTCCTATATGTACATAGGCTACTGTAAATTGACACAAATCCCAGATAAATTTTAGGCCTACCTGCTGGTTAAGTAATAGAAGAAAAAGAAGTAATTTTTCTTATATATTTATTTTAATTAGACTCACATTAGAAGAGAAGAATTATAGAAATTGTGTATATTTGAGTGTAGAAGAGGAGTTCTTGGGAATTGTAAATGCATTCACATTGAACAGGCATTTTTCTTTGTCTACTAGTGGTTATTTTTTGTTGCAGTCCCTACTTGTTTTGAGCACTCTGTAAAGCCTAGAATTTCAAGCCTCAGATTTTTAGTGCACCTGTTATATATACAGTATAAATATATTTTAGTGTAATGGGTATATATCTGGAGGAGTTGCTTATTCAAGCATGTTGAAAAAATTTTGACAATTCCAAAAGTCAAATTATTTACCATAAAGGAGTTCTAATGGGAGTCTTTTCTGTAATGTGAATAAAACTTTTTCACACTATTGTCCTGTCAGAGTTCCTTTATGTAGTAGTATGACCAATTAAGCAGTGAATACAACTAAATTAGCCTATTTATTTGTGGAGACTGAGACTGTAATTTCTGTTTCCCTTTATTCTTGTTGAGGCTTCTGCAGCGACAAAACTTGAGCCTACTGAAGATGAGAGGAAAATCCAGGTATCTCAGCTTATTTCTAACAAGGTAGCTATTTAGGTAATCACTAGAATCCCAATTCACATGAAGATCTACCAGAGAATTTGAACTTCTACTTATTCAAAAAATCATATATGCTAAGACATTATGTGTCCTTAACATCAGTAGAAAACTGTCAACTGTTATTAAAAAGTCAGAGGAAGTAGATGTTTATGGAGTTCTGTGGACTGACAAGGGTAAATGTGCTGAGTTTTCATTCATGTTACATATTTTTATACTGAATTTTCTTCAAGGGACCCACAGAATTTTCACTTCTAAATTTTCATTTCCCCTTGTACTCAGATCATTTCACCTTAGTTGAATAGTAAAGTCCTTCCCATGTGTCTCCCAGCCCCATTGTCTCTCATAGGTAGACAAGTTGTGGTCCATTAGCCACATGTGTGCTGTCAGTACAAAGCAGTGAACCCCAAAGGGAAGCCTACTCTTGCAAGATGTCCTTGGTATCAAACGGAATATTTTCCTTTTGTGAAAGGTGGTTATCAATAATAGTCTGCTTGAAACTACTGCTGTTTTTACTTAACACTGGTTTATGGGTAAATGGGCTTCCCTGGTAGCTCAGCTGGTAAGGAATCTGCCTGCAATGCAGGAGACCCTGATTCAATTCATGGGTCAGGAAGACCCCCTGGAGAAGGGATAGGCTACCCACTCTAGTATTCTTGTTCTTCCCTGGTGGCTCAGGTGGGTTCGATCCCTGGGTTGGGAAGATCCCCTGGAGAAAGGAACGGCTACCCACTCCAGTATTCTGGCCTGGAGAATTCCATGGACTATATACTCCATGGGGTCGCAAGTGACCCCCATGGGGACACGAGTGAGTGACTTTCACTTTTTCACTTTCACTGTGTATAAATGGGATGTAAAAGTAAATTTCCATGAGTAGTTTTGTTTGATATTTTAATATTTTAATATCCAACTCATATACCTACTAGATTGACAACTCATATACCCAGTTGGTTGAATTTAAATCTTTTAAACCTGCCCTAATATCTTACTCATAAATCAGTGTCAATCCATAGTTACTTACAGGATAAATGAAGTAGGTCTTGTTGATATTTCCTCACTGTTCTATATAATTCATCTTAAAGCAGAACTTTAATTAGGGTGTTCTTTATAAAGTAACGGCTTCCCTGATAGCGCAGTTGGTAAAGAATCTGCCTGCAATGCAGGAGACCCCGGTTCCATTCTTGGGTCAGGAAGATCTGCTGGAGAAGGGAAAGGCTACCCACTCCAGCATTCTAGCCTGGAGAATTCCATGGACTGTATAGTCCATGGGGTTGCAAAGAGTCGGACATGACTGAGGGACTGGCACTTTATAAAGTATTTTACCTTATTGCCTCTATGTTTGTCATATTTCTTTTCTAAAAAGTTGTTTGGTTTCTACAGTATGTGAAGTGAATAAAAATATTCTAACCTTGCCCGACCCTCACCCCCCAAATGAGATGGTTGGCTATCACACTTGCTGGAGAAAACAATCAGACCTAGTTCTTTACAATGGGTTTAGAAATTCTCTTTTTCTGTGAGGTACATATGTTCTGATTTTTGTGAGATGCAGCATTCATCAGGGCTTAAGATACCATGTAATATAAGTTCTCCCTCCATCTTTGAAATATGAATTTACACTTAAAATACTATGTATTTTAATGAGGAAACTGGTAATTTCAGTATTTAGGGATGCGTTCTTAGGCTTAGGTGACAGCATCTGCAAAATAGGATTAATTTCAAAGGAGTCCTCTTATACTACTTGGGGAAGTGGATGTATGCGTGTGTGCGCATGTGTGCCTATGACTTCTCTGAGTCTCACAAAAGAGTAAAGAGCCAAACTACTAAACTGTCAGTGCAGGACTTGTTGGACTTTTTGTTTTTTGCCCCAGAGATATTTTAAAACTAACTTTTCTCAGTATCAAATGTCCTTAAAACTCATCAATTACAATTCCCAATAACTCATTATCCTAGGCAGAGTGATTTGGTGATTGGCTTGAGGGGCATTCAGTGACTAAGTATTCCTTGTGTCTCTGCTGTGTTCAGGGCATGCATGTCCTTACTGGATAGTTGCAGCAAGCTGCCTGGAAAAGGCCAGAGCAGGGGAAGTGGGTGGATGGCATGTGGAGGGCTGGGGTTTCCTATAGGTTTTGGCACCTTTGGCTCTGATTCTCCAAAGTGGCCTTTCCCTTAGAAGTGATTTCTAAGGGGCATGATACTTTATCATTTAAACTGTACACTTTCAGAAATTCTAGACTGGTTGTTGAAGATACCATGCCTGTTTGCCAAAGTGTGCAGTTTGCATACTTGTAACTTTGTACAGTGAGTTTGCAGGAATGTGAATGCTGTGGCCTGCAGGATACTGGTGAGCGACCATCGTAGCACCAAATAGGAAATACTTTACCAGGACTGGTGGTACCCACTGGTGTCAGTGCACTGGACTCTCCAGAGGCCCTTTTCCCAAACACCACCATCACCGGAAATGTCCTGGGTTGGGACTGGAGGAAGGAGGAGGGACTAGCCAGTTCTTTGAAGATCTCAGGTCCCCTTCAGGGGCTGCTCCAGAGATTGAAAATGAAATTTTCATGATTTCACTTTAACCACAGCTGTCCTTTGCTGTGTACTGCAGGCTTTTAGAAGCAAATGAAATTTTCATGACAAAATCATCGTAACTGTTTGCTTGTCAAGGACTTACAATAGCTCTATGACTGATGATAATGCACGGTTTGGGGGGGGCCAGTGAGGTGGAATAATATGTGTCTGGCTGGAGTGAATTGAAGCTGGTATTTTCTTGATGCAGTTGAAGTAATTTACTTCAAAAGTATGCTTATACAGTTCATTTCCATAAGGAGTGCTCAAAAGAATTTTGATTATATGGTCCAATGTTTGTCTAAAGCTTTTGCTTAAAAATAATCTTTGGCAAGTCAAAATTACCACGTCTCCATTTCTACCTTCCTTTCCTGATTCTGATCTATCTTCTATAATTTTGATTTCTTTGTATGTCATAGTAGCTTTTTTTCAAACTACATTTAAATGTCTGTTCATTGCCCCACCAGTTTCTAACTGACTACCAGGATGTGAGAGTTAAGCTCTAGATATAAAGTGTTATTTCTTTTTGGAATATTTGCTTCTGTAATATTCAGTCTTTTCTCATTAATACTTTAGAGTCTTCTGATGAGAACATGAACTGTCTCTTTTTAGTAAAATGTCATATTATAATATTTGCTTCTGTAATATTCAGTCTTTTCTCATTAATACTTTAGAGTCTTCTGATGAGAACATGAACTGTCTCTTTTTAGTAAAATATGTCATATTTTGAGGGTTGGCTGAAATAGTTTAGATCGAAAATAATAAACAGAAATGGTATTCCTTTAAGAAAACATTTGGTAAACAGGTAGAAGGAAAATGTACTTCCAGTGCACACTATTGCCTAAATAGTATTTATTCAAATATTTGGTTCAGGGACTTACAGGAAATGCCCTGTCTTCCTTACATAAAAATTATTCTGGTAATTTCATATTTCTGGGTGTGCTCTCATTACTACCTTGTTATAGTTAAAGGGTGTAACAGATGAAATTTGAGATTAAAAAGAAAATGCTCCTTACTTTTGATGGTTACCTGAAGCTATATGTTTCTTACATTTCCAAATGGACTTTTGTAGGGATGAAGGGAAATGTGTTGAAGGAATTCTGGAAATCTTTGACATGCTTCTGGCAACAACTTCAAGGCTTCGTGAGTTAAAACTCCAGCACAAAGAATATCTCTGTGTCAAGGCCATGATCCTCCTCAACTCCAGTAAGTAACCACACAGCTGGGCCATGTTTTACGCGGGGGAGATGCTGTTTCTAGAGCGGCATGGTGTTGAGGAGTACAGAGTTTCTTATTTTATTTAAAAAGGGGAAGATGGCTTTCTTTCTGACTTCTCTGTTTCATTTATAGGGATTTAAACTGTACTTAACTTTTGGTAATTTGAATATAAATTATTCATTAGGTGAATTACTGGTGGTAATTTAAAAAGTGGCTCAAGCCACTCCACTGGAAAAGGAAAAAAATGGACTTTAAAACATTTACCTTGCATCGTTTTGTGTTTTTTTGGCATTCTAATTTATTTTATTGTGGTGTAACTGACATACTGGACTTCCCAGGTGACTCAGTGGCAAAGAATCTGCCTGCCAATGCGGGAGATGCAGGAGACTCAGGTTTGATCCATGGGTCAAGAAGATCCCCTGGAGTAGGAAATGGCAACTCCAATATTTTTTTTTTAAGATGCTTCAGTATTCTTGCCTCGGAAATTCCTTGGACAGAGGAGCCTGGTGGGCTGCAGTCCCTGGGGTCACAAAGAGTCAGACAGAACTTAGTGACTGAGCACCCACACAATTGAAATAACATGGTATTATTTAACACATACAACATAAATGATTTGAATTTGTGTAATTGAGAGATGATCATATTGTGTGTATGTCAATTCCAATCTCTCAGTTTATCCCCCTCCCCCCATAAGTTTGTTTTCTACATCTGTGACTATTTCTGTTTTGAATTAATAAGTAAGTTCATTTGTATCATTTTTTAAGATTTCACATATAAGCAATATAATATTTGTCTTTCTCTAGCTTACTTTACTTAGTACGACAATCTGTAGGTCCATCCATGTTGTTGTAAATGGTGTTATTTCATTCTTTTTAATGGCTGAGTAATATTCTGTTGTACATATGGACCACTTCTTCTTCATCCAGTCATCTGTAGGTGGACATGTAGGTTGTTTCCATGTCTTGACTACTGTAAATAGTGCTGCAATGAACAATGGGGTTGCATGTGTCTGTTTGAATTATGGTTTTCTCCAGATATATGCCCAGGAGTGGAATTACAGGATCATATGGTAGTTCTATTTTTATTTTTTAATGAACCTCTGTACTGTTCTCCAGTACAGATGCTATACCAATTTATATTTGCAGCAACAGTGTAGGAGTTTCCTTTTCTCCACACTATCTCCAGCATTTATTATTTGTAGACTTTTTGATGATGGCCTTTCTGACTAGTGTGAGGTGATACTTTATTGTAGTTTTGATTTGGATTTCTCTGATAATTTGTGGTGTTGAGCATCTTTTCATGTACTTTCTGGCCATCTGTATGTCTTCTTTGGAGAAATATCTGTTTATATCTTCTGTTCATTTTTCAGTTGGGCTGTTTGTTTTTCTTTGATATTGAGCTTCATGAGCTGCTTGTATATCTTGGAGATTAATCCCTTGTTGGCTGCTTCATTTACAAATATTTTCTCCCAATCTTTGGGTTGTCTTTTTGTTTATGGTTTCCTTTGATGTGCAGAAGCTTTTAGGTTTAATTAAACCCAAATTAAATTTAAATAAACAAATTTAATTTATTTTTGCTTTTATTTTCATTACTCTAGGAGGTGAGTCAAAAAAGATATTGCTGGGATTTATGTCAGAGTGTTCTGCTTAGGGCTTCCCAGGTGGCGCTAGTGGTAAAGAACCCGCCTGCAAGTCAGGAGACATAAGAGACGCAGGTTTAATCCCTGTGTCGGGAAGATCCCCTGGAGAAAGGCATGCCAATCCACATCAGTATTCTTGCCTGGAGAGTCCCATGAACAGAGGAGCCTGGTGGGCTGCAATCCATAGGTCACAAAGAGTCAGACATGACTTAGCATGAACGCATGTGTTCTGCTTATGTTTTCCTCTAAGAGTTTTATAGTGTCCAGCCTTGCATTTAGGTCTTTGATCCATTTCAAATTTATTTTTGTGTATGGTGTTAGAAAGTGTCCTAATTTCATTTTTTTACATGTAGCTGTCCAGTTATTGAAGATACTATCTTTTCTCCATTGTATTTTCTTGCCTCCTTTGTCATAGAGTAGTTGACCGTAAGTCCCTGAGTTTATTTCTGGGCTTTCTATCTTGTTTCATTGATCTACATTTCTGTTTTTGTGTCAATACCATACTATTGGATTACTGTGGCTTTGTAGTATAGTTTGAGCTCAGGGAGTCTGATTCCTCTAGCTTTGTTTTGCTTTCTCAGGATTTCTTTGGTTATTCAGGGTGTTTTGTGTTTCTGTATAAATTTTAGAATTTTTTTGTTCCAGTTCTGTGAAAAATGTCATTGGTAATTTGATAGGGATTGCCTTGGATCATTTTGACAGTATTGGTTCTTAAGATACAAGAATCCTTCTATATGGATAGTTGTGCCATGCTTAGTTGCTCAGTTGTGTCCGACTCTTTGCGACCCTGTGGACTGTAGCTCGCCAGGCTCTTCTGTCCATGTGGATTCTCCAGGAAAGAATATTGGAATGGGTTGCCATGCCCTCCTCCAGGGGATCTTCCCAACCCAGGCTTAGAACCCAGGCCTCCTGCATTGCAAGCGGATTCTTTACCATCTGAGCCACCAGGGAAGCCCATGAATACTGGAGGGGGTAGCCTATCCCTTCTCCAGGGCATCTTCCTGACCTAGGTATCAAACTGGGGTCTCCTGCATTGCAGACAAATTCCCTGCAGCTGAGCTACCAGGCAGTCTCTATGGATAGTTACTTTCATAAAATAAAAAAATTTTTGAAAAGTACTAAGCCCTAGTATTTTATTGTTACATTCAGCTAATTTAAAGTTACTCTATCAGTTGCTATAAGAGTTTCCAAATGCTTACCCTCAATTTTTACTTCTCTCTGTGTGTACTGGTAACAGGTCATACTTTGAGTAACTCAAGTATTGAGCAGGAAGTATTGTCTGGGAGATAACTGGATCCTGGTATAGGGACAGGGCGAGGGGAGGAAGTTAGGTCTTGAAGGAGGGGAGAGGGGGAATGAAGAAATTTGAAGGTCATGTGAAGCTCAGAGACCCTGAAGGCAACTTTGGGTACTTCCTTTGTTGGGTCTCAATCTGGCCTTACTTATAAGACAAGACATTTCCCCTGCACCCAATGCACTCTCTACACCATATCTAGAAAATAAACATTTGTGAGTAGAAATAATAAATCACTGGACAAGTGAAAATTGTAGGGGAAGTCAAGAAGACTGCTAAGTGTTCTGGGGCTTTTATCACCTTCTCGACATTGAGGACACAGCTTACATCAGCGATTAAGTTGACGTGCATATAGGTAATGACCAGGTGGGACATTTGAAACTGCTTGCGGAAGGAAATCAGCTTTTTCAGATCTTGTCTTTGAGTCTACCTACCTACATTATCTCAAATGTTTGCTGCTGTTTGTCTCTGTTAAAGGGAAGATTTCCCTGGAAAGTTCATTTGTACCTTGGCACAAGAGGATCATCAAATGCCAAATTATGGGACTTCTCTCACTTGCAGAAATAACTTAGGACTCTTGTCTGTGTAGCAGAGTGCTCCTTGGAAAGCAGTTGCTTCTTGTTAGAACACTTTGATGTGTAAAGGCTTCTGTTTGGCGAGGCTCCTTACCGACAATTTAGCCTCTGAGACATCATATTGTGTTGTTAGGAAGCTAGAAGCATCATCTGTGCAAATGGGAAAGATTAAGGCTGCGGCGTTCCTCCTGCAGCATCTCATGGAGCTGCCATGTGGAGGGAATTACAGAGGGTAAGGCAGGCATGTGATGTAATTATCACTCATGGTGGTAAATGGGTAGAATTTGTTTACAGTAAACCCAATTTTAAGAAATCTTCTTTAAAAAGTGTTTTTGGCCTGGTGGTCAAAACAGTTGTCAAAGTGAATATATATATATATTTTAGTTGTGCCACATGGCATGTGGGATCTTTGTTCCCTGACCAGGGATCAAACCTGTGTCCCCTGCAGGGGAAGCACAGAGTCTAACCTATGGATCATCAGGGAAGTCCCAAAAGTGAATTTATTCTGTTCAGCATTACTGTTCAGAAAATGGGGTTCTCATTCTATTGGAAAATTTCCACTGTTAGGAGAGGTCTTTTCTCTGCTAGATTTTAAGCATTTCAAGTTACAGGCTATTTTTCCTTTTGATTATTTATAACACTAACTTGAAAACAAATACAGGGACAGAATCCACTTAGACACCTTAAATTTAAGAAACCCTACAGAATATATAAAACAGACACAGGCCACAAAGGACAGTGATTCCCAAGAGAAGAGACACAAAATGAGTCCTTTGATCGACCAGTTTACTGCCTAGAGCCAGTTTCCAGGTTGTAACACAGGGAGAAGTAACCCAAGTGGACACCAGGGGTCTTCCTGAACTGAGGGGACAGAGTTGTGAGTCTGGGGAGGCTAAGGCAACTAGGATCTGCAGGGGACAGTACTGGGGAGGAAAGAGCTGGCCAGAGAGGCTTTTGAGATCTGCAGAGGGTCCCCTTCAGGTCTTCAGCTGAACATGTTTTGTGCTTATTACAATACTAACCAAGGACAGGGCAAGAATCACCAGAAAGAGGAAAAGCATGAACAGGTTAGAAGAGACATAGAAAATGTGAAACACACTCAAACTGAATTTCTAAATGTGAAAAGTATGTTTAGATGGATTTACATCCTAGGAAGATCCCCTGAAGAAGGGAAAGGCTACCCACTCCAGTATTCTGGCCTAGAGAATTCCATGGACTGTATAGTCCATGGGGTCACAAAGAGTCAGACACGACTGAGCGACTTTCACTTTCACATCCGATTAGGCATAGCAGAAGAAAAAAATAGTGGATGTTAAGCAATAGCAATAGAAACTATCAAAAAAGAATGGAAAGAAGAAAAGTTTTTAAAAATGAACAGATTATTAGGAAGCTATGGGACAACTATAGTTACTAATATACATGAATTTGGAGTCCCTGAAAGCAGAGGGGCAAAAAAATACTTGAAGAAACGGTGGTTGAA